ACCCCCACCCCCAGGCCCTGGTGATCAATGAGATGGAGGGCATGGAGTTTGATGCCGACGACAAGGTGTGGACAACGGGGCTGCTCGTGTGCCTGAGTGTGTGTATGCGGGATGTGGGTGTGTATGCAGGGGGTGGGAAAGGTGCTCACACGATTTGGCGGGAGCGGCGCGACGGCGGTCAAAGGAGGAGCGCTGTATGTGATTGTGTGTTTGCATGAGCTGCAGGGTATCACCAGGGTTCTAGCTTCTGCACGTTTTCCCATACAAGTGTTATGAGCGCATCCAAGAGCAGAGGCATCATTTGCAGCGGGGATAAGCGAGGTTTTGGTTAAAAAGCCCCTCTATTTGCATTTGGGAGGGTTGCTCCTTGAGGCAGATTATGCTCACTGTTGTGGCACTGATTCACACACACATTTGCACGTGCGCACACACGCGCACGCACGCATGCACGCACGCGCGCGCGCACGCGCACACACACACTCTTCTAAGCACTCATTTACTCACGCACATAATTGCACACGCACACAACCCGCTGCCATGCAGGCCAAGGGCATGCGCACTGGCGCTGATGTGCTGCACTGGACCGGCTTCGACAAGACCACCATAGGCAGCAGCACCAAGGCGCAGGTGCCCGCCCCGCCCTCACACACGCCCCAGGGTGGTGCTGCCCCGGTCAAATATCACCCTGTGCTGGCGGCCAGTGTCTTCCTGTTGCTGTCGGGCTTGCAGCGTGTGGGCGTGCACGCCCTTGATTAGACCCGCGCACACTGCAACTGCAGCCGCTGCAGTCGCACCTGTTGGGCCCTTGCGCCGCGTTCGCCCTATCTCCTGTCCCTCAAACCCCAATGAACCCTGACAGGCGCGCATCCTGCTGGCGCACTACTGGCTCGCCCTCAACCTGCTGCGCGCCAACAAGGCGCGCTACGCGCAGCTCGCGGCCCCAGCGCCAGCGGCCGCCGCGCCGACGGCAGCAGCGGCGCCCGCGGCGGCGGCAGCAGCAGTGCCCGCGGCGGCGGCAGCGGTGGCGCCTGCTGCGGCGGAGGCAGCCGCAGCGCCTGCGGCGGTGGAGCAGCGCGCGGAGGCGCCGGCGCCCGAGCCGGAAGCGCCGGCCGAGGCGGCGCCGGCTGCGGCGGAGGGCGAGGCCCGGGCGGGGCCAGGGGATGAGGCGGGGGATGACGCTGCCGAGGGGCCGGTTGCGGAGCAGGAGCAGCAGGAGGAGAATGTGGTGGTGCCCGCGTGAGGGCTGGGCACTTTGGTGTGGCCTGTATGATTTTTGACCAGGTCTAGGATTTGGGAGATGATTGTGGCCCGCAGGAGGTAGCGACGGAGGCAGGGCAAGTTTTGTTTAGGTCCTGGTCCTGTGGGTTTGCTTTTAAGCATCTGGGTAACATTCAGGTAGCTTCGAGCAATTGCAGAAACCTCCAGCCGGGCAGGCACGGCAAATGGCGGTGGCACGGCTTTCCCGTCACCGGTACTTCACATTGGGTGCTGCATATTTGCTGCACCTGCCGCCGTCGAAACCAACGACCCATTGCGCCGCAGCCATTGCTGCTGCATATTCATGCAGCCATGTTTGTCATTTGCTGACAGCTGGCGATGCCTAGTGGCGGCAAGATCCCACAGGCGCCAAGGGCTTTCGCTACGAAGCACTGGTGCACCGGTATTGCTTCAGGCCTATCTGTCTTTCTACTGTTCGCGGTCGTATCTCATGCCAGCCGCTGCAGAGGCAGTCGCCTGATGAGTGGCTTGTCATCAGGCATGCACGTGATGTACTGCGTTACACAATCGGGTGCGCATCACCAACGCGCAAATGACAGGTGCACCCGTGCCAACTCGACAGACTTGTGCCAGCACACGTGCGCGAAGACGGCACAAACCGCACACGCAACTTAGCACGAATTGCATACGTATACAGTTTGTGATCACAATTGCAGGCCTCCAGTCAATACCTTAAGTCTCACGTGCGGCTGCAGTCCCCTGCTTGCTCCAGCGCCGCCCTGAGCGCCCTGTTGGCGGCACTGTCGGGGTCCACCAGCTGCAGCAGCGCCTCTCCGAGCGCCGCAGGCACGGGCACCCTCACGGCGCCGCCCGCCAGCTGCACACGCCATGCCGAAGCCAGCCACTGAGGCTCGGGCTGCACCGCCTCTGCGGCCGCGCCCGCACCTGGTGGGCAAACCTCTTCGACGCGTGTGGGCGCAGAGCAGCAATATGCTGCCATGGCTGCAAGGCAAAGGAGCATCATGTGGGCGAGCTGCAGCAGCGCGGCGCGCCGAGTAGCATCCTGCGGCTGCACGGCGCCTGCCCACTGCTTCTTCCGCCGCCTCCCCGCCCCACAAGCCTGCGCCCGCTGGGCCCCGTCCTCCCCTCCCCCAACCAGTGACGCCGCCGAGAGCACGACTGTTGGGAAGCCGCCGTCTGCCGGGAAGTCGAGGTCGAAGCCGGGGGCCTACCCGCCCATGACCAGGGACGAGGCGGAGAAGCGCTGCACAGGGCCCCAGGCCTCTAGGGGCGGCGCAAGCTGCATCAGCGCCCGCGCGTCCGCCTCGGAGTCTACTGTCTGGAGCGGGAGGCTGGCATTTGGTGCAAACCCCGCCGCCGCCGCCTCGAGAACGTGGCCGCCGTTGCCCCTGAGCCTGCGATTGAACGTCCCACCGCCCACTGGCGTCCTGCCGCCGCCGCGCATGACGGGGGCCACCAGCGCCGCGCTAGGGCCCATTCACTCAATCCCGCAGGCAGCGGCGCTGCCGGGCCTGCTCAGGTACGACAGGAATTCTAGGGCATCGCCTGGGGGCGGCGGATCGAGGTCAAGCTGAGGGCCTTCTGCCACGTCAGCCAGGCCAGGAAGGCGCCGTAAGCCAGGCACGCCGACATAGATGCGCGCGCCCCCTGCGGGGTCCACAGCTTCGTCGGCGCCTGCCTCACGCCGCAGCCGAACGTTCCCACACGCGAGCTGCGCAAGCCGTGCCTCGCCCTCTTGGCGGCCGTTGCTGCTGCCGGCAGCAGTGCCGGCAGGCAGGGCTGTGAAGAGGGCATCTCGAGGCACGTCTTCGCTCTCGATGTTGGCGACTGCGTTGCCGGGCGTGAGAGGCAGCTCGCCGTCCTCGTCAGCAGCAGGCATCAGCTCCTCCATTTGGTCCAGTCTGAGGAGAGGGGGGATGGGCGTGAACAGCTCTCGTTGCTCGTTGGGCCGGTCGCAGTTGTCATCCTCCCACTCCTCCTTAACGGCCGCCGATGGCTGCAGTGCAATGCCGCTGGCTTGGTAACCGCCGTAGCTGCGAGTGGCTTCGCTCGTGCTGCGTGGAGAGCCCTGCAACGGGGTGTTGCCGCTGTCTTTGGCGTGTAGAAGCAAGGCCCTGGGCAAGAGGTGACAACGGAGGTGACAGGAGCGAGGGTGGGGCTTGGCCAGGCTATGTGGGGTAAGGTTTTGCATTCACGTGCACGCAGGGGTTGATGTGAGTCGAGGAAGACAGGTGCAGTGTTAGTGGGCGCTGGAATTGCAAGGCACTCGTAAGAGTTTTTGCTGGCTAGCTGTGGCTGGCTGGCTGCTGGCTGGCTGGCTGCCATGTGCCTGCAGTGCCGGGCAAGCCTTGCAGGCCAGACTGCTGCTCACTTGCGATCAGGGTTCAGAAAGTGCTCCAGCCGCCACCTGCGCTTCCACTTGAGGGCGCCCGTCACGACACGCACGCGCGCTGCGTCGGGGCCGTTCATGACGATTTTCTGGGTGGCAAGCATGCGCCGGCGCGACAGATGCGCGGATCGCATGCATGTGAGCCGAGTTCCTGGCTTTGCACCAAGCCGACTGCACGCCGGTGCATCTCAGCAAATCCGATATATCTTCCTCGAGCCCGTTCGCTGCAAGCGGGGATGCAGCGGCTGCAATTTCAGTCCCTTTTGACGGCGACCCCCCTACTGGGCTCGGCGCGTCAAACGGCAGACGTGCGGTGCGATGTGCAGTGCGCGCCAGTGCGCGCCGACATGGACCTGCACGTGGGGGCTGCTGCGGACTGCTCACCTGTGTCGGATCGCTTTCTACAGGTAATAGGAGATTGAAACGCTCATATGCAACGCGTTATCAGCCGTTGCAGCTGCACTGATTGCACAGAAGACAGGGGCCTTTGCCCTGCAGGTCCGCAGGCCCTTCAATAGTATAGTTCAGACAACGACCTCAGAGGTAATGTGACCTGCTTGGACCAAATTTCCAGTGCTTGCCACGCCGGAGGGTACCAACACCGACATGAGCGCCCTGGCGTTTCCACTGCCCTGAAAGACCCGCAAGTCGTCACAATCAAGAAATAATTATATATGTATCTTCATAACAAACCTCGACTCCTTTAGCACCTTGATCGGGGACATTGTTTCTTGACATGTCAAAACTCTCGCCCCTGTTGTCCGCCCAGTAAATCGTCCATAACACGGGCTGCGGGCCCCCGGGTGCGCTCGGAACCCAGCCCCTGCCTTTCGCAGGCAGCCCTGCGCCCACCTGGGGCAGGGGGTGGACGGACGTCCGCGGCAGTGCCGCACCTCCAGTGCAGCGATACTGCTTCAGGGCCCCTGGAGCCGAGCGGGGGTGAAAAGGATGGCCGCAAGGCTGTCTGACCTAACGTTTGGCCGATCCCCGTAAGGCTTCCCATAAGGGGCCGCGGCACCATCATCTCTGCAGCAACCAACTAGCAGGTCAGCACAGCCAGGTGAGTGCGGGGCGCTCAGTGCAGCCGCCTCCCCGTGGCGCGCCCTGTGAGTAGGCAGGAGGGGTTTCAGCCGGTTGGCTGGAGCCCTTTGCCGGCTGAAACCAAGAGCTGCACATTTTGTTGTGTGTTGTGATGTCTCCTGGCCGGTCCTACCTTGGTGCTGCTGCTGCTGCTGCTGCTGCTGCTGCTGCTGCTGCTGCTGCTGCTGCTGCCGTTGCCGCTGCCGCCGCTGCCGCCGTCGGTGCTGCCGTTGCTGCCACGGCTGCTTTGAGACGGTGAGGTGACAGGTGCCGAAGTTTTGGCGTTTGCCCAGTGTCAACAACAGGCGCTATACATGCACGGGTCACCCAATGCTGCGTAAGCAGGACGCGCAGGCGGGTAGGGCTGCAGCAGCTCGCACCAGCGGCACACTGTCAAAGTCTCTTGCAGGGCCTGCTGCTGGGCTTTGTTCTGACCAATCTTTGCAAGCAAAGTGCATACTTATCGGCCGGTGCTTATGCACTATTAGCCAATCACCCTCCGGCTCATTCCCGGCCAGAGCCAAACAGTCGACACGCCGATGCCGTTCTTGCATTTCTCAGCAGCACAAAAATATTTGGGGGCCATCAGGGCTGCGTCGTGCCAATCAACCCAACGCACGCACAAAGAGATGACGGCCGGTGCGGGGGTGCGGGGGCACGGGATTGGGGGGTTGGGGAAGGGCGGTCGAGCGGCAGCGTCATCCCAGAGCTTGCGGTGGCTGCTGGCATTGCAGAGGAGTAGCTGCGCAATAGGGTAGACACGTGCTGACACCGCTTGCCGACTCAGTGCAGCTGTGGCAAGGCTCGGGCCACTGCATCGCACAAGGCACAGTGCCAGCGTGCCGCGGTAAACTGAGCCGATCCTGGTCCGATTTGAAATCCATGTCACAACAAAATGAGCTTTATTGAAATCCCATACTTTTTCGCCGAACGTGTGCAGTGCAAGCGAGTTTGCAAAGTCCCGCGCTATGATCGCACGTGATCTATCCGAGGTATACGATGGTAATAGGCGAGTGCCCGATACGTGAAGGCCGCTTCAATACCTTTGATATCACAGCACCATGAGCGGCGCGGTATCGACGCTTGTCACCGTCGATGCGTCCGCTGTCGGCGCCTTGCTGCGAGCGCCGGACCTCTTGGAGGGCGCGGTCGACCGCCAGCTGCTGCGCATAGTGCTGGCGGGCGCCGCATTCCTGGCAAGCGATGATGCAGCAGTATCCAACCAGGCAGCGGTTGGCGGACAGGCGAAAGACGGTGGCCATCCGGGCGTGCGCGCGCTGCTGTTCGACATGCGCACGAATGACCTGGGTCGCGCCGCCGCTGGCCCGCCGATTGGTGAGCCATCAAAATCCTTGCGCTCTGTTTATGTCCCAGCATGAGCCCTTATGCTCATCTTGAGGCCGGACTGCGGCCAAACCCACAAATGCGAGTTGACTGCCCAGCCGATACACCAGCACAAGCAGTAGCACCCCCCACGCCCGGCCGGCGCAGGGATTAGCGGCTCTCGCGCGCTGGCGCTGGCGGCGTCGGCGCCTACAGATAGCCTGTATGACATCATAGAGGACGGCGCGCCTGCGCCGGGCAGCGCGCTCGACCTGCTGACAGCCCCCACTGCTTTGAAGGTCGAGGGCCAGCAGCAGCAGCAGCAGCAGCAGCAGCAGCAGCAGCAGCAGCAGCAGCAGCAGCAGCAGCAGCAGCAGCAGTTGCCGGGCCTAATGGGGCCGCGGTCCATCAGGGTGGTTGACAGCCTAGTGCTGGATGCGGCAAAGCACCTGGCCGGCGCCGCAGGTGTGTGGCAATACTTCATTCCGTACAGGAGTTGTACTGTTTGCCCACAGAGGACCTCGATAATGGGGGCCCCGTTGTGAAGCAGCGCTGCACATGCACGACACCCATCATCCTGCAGACGGCGCACTCAGGCTTCAACATTCGCAGCGACCGCTTTTGTGTGGCACCACTTGCCCGTGTTACCTGTTGCACTGCGTTGTCCGCCTCCTCCTCGCAGGCGCGAAGCGGTTGCTGGTTGTGTCACGGCTGCCGCGGACGCCCGACGAGATTGCAGCCTTCCTGTCAGAAGGTGCGGCTGGGATGGGGCGGGCTGTCAAAGGCTGGGCTGCGCAATGTTGGGGGCAGGCTGTGATTGGAGATGGGTACCTGGGTTGTAGGTGCGTCTTTGGGGCCAGCTGTCACCGTGTGAGGGTTCAAACAAGCATGATAAGTCCCTGCAAGGTGTACATGGGCAGAATGCAGGCGCCCCTGTGAGCAGCACTACTAACAAATTCTGTTGCACTGGCCCGGCATGCCTGTGCTGCTGCGATACAGGTGTTGCGCCCCAGCACCCGAACGACCCCGAGGCTGCCGCGGCCGAGACAGCGAATGCGGCTGCGGTGCTGGCCGGCGGCGGGGCAGCAGCGCGGCAGCTGGTGCGGGAGCGGCTGGCGGGGCTCAGGCGGCTGCGCAGCATGACTCAGCAGGAGGGCATCAGCGTTTGGTGGCTCGAGCTCGGTAAGCTCGCTGCGCCGCCCATAGGTACCAATCATTTGGCGTCGCTGAGTTAAACCCCAGCATCGGTACGCATCAGACGGTCAATGTTTTGATCGTGCCACATATGAAACAGCAGCCCTCGCCCCAGCCCTCGCGCATGCTGCCCCCCACGCGTCGCACTGCGCTGCATGCATGCAGGGGAGCCGCCCACCAGCGGAGAGGCGGCGGCTCTGGCGCTGTGGCAGGAGCTCCTGCGCCTCCTGAGGTGCGCCCGCCTGCCGCGTTCTGCATCGACAACACTTCGCAGCGCACACAACTGATGAATATAGTATCCTGAGCCCCGTCTGCAGACCCGATCTCCCAGCTTTGATGCGACGCTGACAGCCCCGCACGCCCCTGCCCCCTCACACCTTCCCTCTCGCCCAAAACCATGTTCGACCAACCGCGCAGCACCGAGTGCCCCGAGCCAAGCACGCTCTTGACAGTGGACTTATCAGAAGAGCGCGCCCGCGCCGACTGGGCGCTGGAAAACCTGGGAGCGGCCCTCGCCTGCCGCCCCGACGGCGATGGCGCGGCCGCGGCGCGCGCGGCGGAGCGGCTGCGCGCGCTGCAGGCGGCGTGGCCGGCGAAGCGGCGGGTCCTGCAGGCGCTCAGGACGCAGCAGGACGCGGCGGCGCAGCGGGCCGCGCACGCGCAGGCGGAGCGGCGGCTGCGGCAGCAGAGGCGTCAGCAGCAGCAGCAGCAGCAGCAGCACGAGGAGCGCGGCAGGTTGGCAGCCAGCAGCCAGGCGCTGCAGCCGAGAGCCGCCGCCCCGCAGGCGTCGGCACCCCGCCAGGGCTGGCCGCCGCAGGCAGCGGGCCGCAGGGGGGCTCTCGGCTCGGCGGGCAAGCCTGGAGACTCTGCGGCGGGTGCGGGCGCGCCACGCGTGCCCCAGGGCGGCGCGACGGCCATCCTGAGCATGCGGGCCCGCCAGCTGGCCCGGCAGATGCAGGGTCAGGGCGGCGCCCCAGAAATAGCGGCCCTGTTCGGCCGTGGGGCCAACCCAAAACGCCGCCCGCCGCAGGAGGCGGCGGACCCCGCGGCCAAGCGCCCACGGGCTGCAGTTGGTGCGGATGGCGGGGCGGCAAAGCGCGGCGGGGGTGGGGGCGAGGCGGCGCCGCGGGTGCCACGCGCTCCGGGGTGGTCCGGCGGGGTCGACCCTGGGCTGACTGTCGAGGCGGTGCGTGCTGACGTCATCAGGTGACTGGGTGACGGCAGAGGGCGGTTGTTGATGCGGGTGGGGTTGGTCCTGGGGGCCCCCAAGGCGAGCGCTGTTGTGAGAGGTGCTGAGAATGGTCCCGGCGTATTGTGTTGACCAGCGGATGCATGGTGGGTCGGGGCCGCTGGCTGAGGATGCGGTTTGCACGTTGGGACAGTGGGGTTTGGACAAACACAGCAACGGGGTCGCCGCAGCAGCAGCAGGGCGACCCCATCACCCTCCACACCTGAGTTCACCCAACGCTCGCGCGCGCACCTGCTCTCGTCACGCCCCCAGGGCGCGCGACGCCGCCGTGGCCATGGTCGCCTGCGGCAGGGTCAGCCCGTACGACCCCCAGGGCAGAGCGGAGCTGCGCGCCGCGGCGTGCGACGCCCTCACGCACGCCGCTCGCTCTATGTCGCACGTTTCCGCGCCGCGCGTCGCGGCGGCCGCGCACCCAGAGCGCGCGGAGGCCAGCCGTGACAATGCGGCGTGGCGGCGTGGCGGCGGCGGGGACGGGCCGACGGCCGCGGCGCGGGCGTCTTTGCATCAGCCGGCGGCGTCTGACGAGCTCAGCAACGCTGTTTCGGCGCCCAGCCCGGTCAACCGGCGCGCGCCCCCTGCAGCGCCAACGGCGGCCGCCGCGCCGCCCCCGCGGCCGCCCGCGCGGCGCCACGTGCGCATGGCGCTGGCGCGGCTGCTGGGACACGAGTCGTTCCTGGGATGGGTGTCGGGGCGTGGCCCTGGGGGCGCGTTTGAGCGGCCGCTGGCGGTGCAGTGCGGGCTAAACCTGTTCGGCCTGTTTTTCTGCCTGGAGGCTCTCGCGCTCGACCCTGGTGCGGCGAGGTCCCAGGCTTTGCCATGCGTGCCGCCAGCCGAGCGCGCCTGCCGGCGCTGCGCTGACGCGGCAGTGTCTGGTCAGCCGTGCGCAGCTTGCTTGTCGGATGCTGTCACGCTCTGGGCCGCGAGAGGAGCCGCGATGAAAGATGCCCTCTCGAGGCAGGAGCCGCGATGGTCCCCTCTCTCATATTCCTCACACTTGAAATTTGAAGCTTAGCGGGACATCTCAGCGTTTCCTGACCCCTCACAAACACTCACACTTGTCGCTCGCGCCCGCCCTCCGCTGCCAATGGTGCATCTTCCCTGCCCAGGCCTGGAGCGCGCCCCCACGGCGCGCTCCCACATGACCCGTCAGGAGAAGGTGATAGCGCTCTCCTGGCTCGCCACCCTGGCTGACACCGGCCGCCCCCAGCCGCCGCCCAGGCAGCAGGGCGCCCAAGCCACCGCGCCGGAGTCGGCGGGCGTCGGCGCGGCAAGCCGGACGCGCGCGCTGGGGCCCGCTCACGTGCGGAGGCGGCTCGCGGCCCCGCGGCGCGCCGCGCCTGTGATTGCAGCAGGCGGGTCGACCGAGGCGGGCCAGGGGGATCCTGTTGCGGGAGCGAGGGCCTGGTCTGAGCGCGAGGCGGGCGCATCGCCCCCCTCGCCGCTGGTCGTGGGTGGCTGCAGCCAGGAGCAATCCGCGGTTCTGCCGCTAGCATCATCAAAGCAGCAGCAGGAGCACCAGCAGCACCAAGAGCAGCAGCAGGAGCAGCAGAAGAAGCAGCAGCAGGAGCACCACAACCAGCAGGAGCAGCAGCAGGAGCAGCAGCAGGAGCAGCAGCAGGAGCAGCAGCAGGAGCAGCAGCAGCAGCAGCAGCAGCCTCTCTGCCTGATTGGCCCGGGATCCTATCCAGGGTACCGCGAGTTTTTCCTGTCAGAGGTGGAGCCGCTGTTCCCAGACAAGCAGCGGCCGGCGGCACTGGGGCCGGTCATGGGCCTGCTGGCCATGCACTGCAGGGGCGAGGTGCGCGGCGCGGCCCTGGCTCAGGGGCAGGGTGCAGGGTCAAGAGGCCGCCAGCAGCACGCGCACGGACGGGCTCCCCTGCACGGGCGCGTTGACCCAGGTCAACCTTGGAGGGCGCCTGCTCGAGAGGGCGCCGCGAGGCGGCGTTTTGTTTGTGCGTCGCCGCGTATGCACGGCAGCAGGCGGTGCTGACCGCGTCCTTTCTCGAAAGCGCGGCGCTGAATCGATCAGGCGGCGCTTTGCTGAAATTTGAAACCCCCTCCTGATTTCTCGCCTCAGGTCCACGACACCGGCTTCCAGTTTGACTTCTCAGATGACTACGAGACCGACGCCAGCGGCAGCGACGACGGCGGCGGCGCCGGCGCTCGGCGGGCGCCCGGCTCGCTCGCAGGGGCTGCGGCGGCGGCGGCGGCGGACTGCGGCATTGGGCTGGCGGGGCTCGATAGGTGAGGGAGGGGGCGGGCGCTGCGGTGCAGTGCGGCCCCTGCGGTGGGGTTGAGCAGACCCACTCTCAGGATAAGCAGCCAGGCCACGCTTGCCATATCCAGCATGCATGTCTTGGTGTGCTGGGCGTGCGCAGGCGGCGATGCGCGTGCATGCGCGTCGACATGCCCACGCGCTCTGCCAGGTCGCACGCCGCCTCTGTTCCTCATTGGCCCTCCCCTCTCCTCCCCCCCTGCCGCCCAGCCTCGGGCGCAGGCCGTCTGTGATCCGTCTGGGGGAATCCAACAGCGGCCCCTCCCGCAGTGCCAGCAGCGCCGGCAACGCCCGCCGCGGCCGCGCCGCCGGCGCGGGTGGAAGCGCGGGCGGCGGCGCCCTCGCCGCCCCTGCGCAGGCGGGGGG